ATTGTGCACAGGGGAAAAGATCAAGAAAATCACCCAATATTCCAGTGGGGTGCGTAGATGTGCCTATATACCCTACTTCTTAGGGGAAAGGGAGATGGGGAAGTGTGGATGATTTTAGGAAGGATAGTAACTGATTCTTAGGGAATTTAGTGGCCTGAGACAAAATCTGTTGGGCCCACAAAACATACAATGGTTTGTGACACAAACCTGCCCAGGTGTGTTGACAGACTTCCGTCTTTCTTCCTGCCATATAAGTTCAAGTAATGAACACTCAGATAAGGGTACCAGAGGTAACTGATTTCTTCTTTGTGGGGTCCAGAATTGTGGTAGGTGAGGCAATTTTAGAGAATAACTTTATTCTGTACTTTGGGAGAGATGAGAGGAAGCAGGAAGGTCAGGGAGACCTTGAGGCTGCTGCTTCAGTACATGTCAGAGTGCTATATTTTGGGGTACTGGTTTCTGAGATTTATGTATTTAAAAAATTTTTTAATTGATACATAATCATAAATATTATGGGACACGTGATATTTTGTTACATGCATGCAATACATAATGATCAAATCAGAGTATTTAGAATATCCATCTCTTCATGTTTGATAACATGATAGGATGACTGTAGTGTGTTGTACATTTCAAATAGCTAGGAGAGGACTTGAAATGTTCCCAAGACAGAAATTATAGCAATTATAACAATTTGTGTAATCATTCTTCTATTTTTCTCTCCTTCAAAAATATATCTCCTGAGTCCTGTTACCCTTCTTCTTGTTACCAAGTGGTTTATTACCTCTTATTTATTGCTTTACTGTCATTTTAGTGGAACTTTTTGGTGGAACAGAGTTAAACATGTGCTCATCTATCCTGTTTTGCCAGCAGTAGCTAGACAATCTTTGAAAATATCGTTGTTGCCAAGCTTTTTATTCTTTTAGTATACATTGAACCCATAGCCTAACCGCTCAACAGTGGCTTCTAGGAAATAATTGCACAAAGATGGCAAAATGGGTTTCTTGTTGTCTTATTCTATTTTGTGCTATAAAGAAATACCTGAGGCTGGCTGCATAATTTATAAAGAAAAAGGATTTATTTGGCTCACAAGTCTGATGACTGGAAAGTTAAGATCGGGTATCTACAACTGATGAGGGCCTCAGAAAAGTTCCATCATGATGGAAGGCAAGGGGAGCTTTGTTTGTGCAGAGATCACATGGAGAGGAAGCAAGAGGTGAGGGAAGGTGCCAGGCTCATTTTAACAACCAGCTCTCTCAGAACTAATGGAGTAAGAATCCACTTACCTTCTTTCTAGGGAGGGCATTAATCTGTTCACGAGGGGTTGCCCCTGTGACCCAAATACCTCCCACTAGACCTCACTTCCCATTTTAGGGATTGCATTTCAACATGAAGTTGGGAGGGGACAGACATCCAAACCACAGCACTTGCATACTTATACAAGATGTTGAAACAAAAACATATTCCATTGTGATAGGCAGAATTTAAAGATGCCCCCAGCATATTTACAAAAAAGAGTTCAAGAGCATATTTTTAAGATTTTTTTTTTCATGAAAAGCAGCACAAATGGCAGTGCCAGAAAAGATATGGAAAAGGTATTTGAGTGTTTTACAAATATTAGTTTTATGCAACTTTTAGAAGCTATATTAGAAATTTCTGCTTTACTTTTTGTATTAAAATGTATACAAGTGGATACTAGCTGAATGGCAGATTATATTTGTATCTATTGTGCTTCTTATGACAGATGTGAAATATTTTGAATTTTATGCTTTAATAGCTGGGAACAGGTCAGGTGACGTGTACACTTTCTGACCTCTTCTTGTCTTGATTGTCAAAGCACCAAGGAGCATACCTGGGCTGAAAGGGTGACATGGTGTTCTTTGTTAGTCAAAACTGAAAATGTGAGCTGTAATAATTCTGTTTCATTGTTCTAAGTATGCAAATAAGACTATTATTTGGCAGTGTTATATACTAAAAAGGAATCATCATTATGTAATACTTATAGTATTAGTGTTTTGTTTACATTCCTTGCTTGCATTTTTTGCACTAATTTGTTTTTGCTTTCTTTTAAATTAACTGTACTACTTTGTATTTTTTTGTCTTTTTAATAGTAATATATGCTTTTGAAAAACAGGTAGAAAATTACAAGAGAATCAAAAAGAGAAATCATTTCAAATTATTTCCTATGTGTGTGTCTGAATATGTACATGGCATTATGTCTAAATATTTTTTTCAAAAAGTAAAAGTTCTCTTCAGGATTTTGAAGCTTTTTTCAATAATAATAAATACATTTACAAAAGCTATAAAAATAATTTAATTTTTAGAAAAGTCTTAGTAGTGATACCACTTTTCAGAATCTGATTTGAATATCTAAATACTATTTGAATATCTAAATGTGGCCCTACTTACAAAGGGTTGTATTCTAATATGGAAGGACTGAGGTATGATTTAATTACATTTCAAGAGAAGGCTGGAGATTTATGTCTTTATAGATTTATATTTATATCTATAAATTAATATATAATGTGCTTTGGAGTAAAAATAAAACAGAGTGAGGGAATGGGGCACCATGGAAGTAGTGAGCCTAGGGTATGGTATACTTACAGTGGTCATATTGGGTCATGTTACCCAATAAATGTCACTAGTGGGTAACATTTGAGCAAAGAGCTAGAAGATATCTAGGGGTGAGTCTTGAATATGTCAGAGGAAAGAACTGTCCATGTAGAGGGAATATCCTGTTTGGAGGTCCTGGGGCAAGATCATGTGGCACAGATGCCAGTGTGGGCAGAGACAACAGAATGGAAGGAAGAGTGGATGTTAGTGACATGGGGAAGGGAGCCCAGGGCCAGATGAGGTAGGACTTGGTGGCCGTAGTGAGGAGTAGTTGAAATGATGAATTACTTTGAGAAAGTATCACTTGGGCGTGCATTTATGAGTGTGTATGTGTGTTTTTATAGACACACATACATTGTCTGTTTATCCCTATCTGAAAGAACTTACAGAGGAAGAAGGATTTGAGATGGAGTGGAGCTCAGCCAAGGCCAAGCTGTGGGGAGCTTTGGGTAGGCACTCACTTGGGTCTCCAGCATTCTTTCCTCTGGACAATTTGTTGAATGATACATGAACAAAAACCCCATTTTAGAAAGCAACCAGAATGCAATTTAGAGTTCATATTGCAGCAAAAGATTCAGGGTGTTGAGTCTTGTGAGGGGGATCACAAATGTTCAGTATCTGAAGGTTATGACGTGCCTGGAGGACTTTGGGGAGAGTAGTCATTCATGATGTTAGACAGCTCAGGCCACATCAGGCTTCGAGATTCTCACTCTGTAGCCTATGATTGAAGTGTAATTATGGGTCTTGTTTTGGGGGTGTGAGATGGGGGACAGGAAACAAAGCAGCTTCAAGGTAGATACGTAAATTATAGGAGAGGGCCAACATTCTGGTGAGTGTCAGAAGTCTAAGATTGCAAAGCAACAGAGCCTCATAATCATGTCTATCTTTCCTTCCCCTCTCAGTTTTTCTCCAGAGTTTTGAAATCATCAAATGCCAGATGTTTGAGCTAAAATACATGCTGTTTGAGTGCCTTAAAATTGCAGCTTTTAGTTACCTTTTAATTTGAAGCCCAGAAATAGTGCCATAACCACCTGTTTTATATTCTGCTAATAGTCATTAAAAAATACAAGTACTGCTCTCCTGCTGGCAGGCACCATTTATGAATGGACAGTTTTCCAGATGGTTGTTTGTAAATCATTGGTGTGGAACCCTGTTTTTCTCCCTATAGATTGGACTTGCTGGATGAAGCTCCAGGCCAGTGTACAAAAGTCAATTTAATCCATAATGCACCTGTGGTGTAGCAGTGAAGAAAGAAAACTATGTGAAGCTATGTTTCTAAGAAAACTATCCCCAGAGTAACATAGGTGACCCCCACGGCATAAGCAGACGCTTCAGGAAGGTGTGGGGATAAAGTCTCTACTGCCGTCAAGGGCCTGAGTGAGGCTGAGAGAGTAGAGTCTAAGAAAATATGAACAGGCCCGGAGGGGGCCTCAGTAACTTTGAAATAAGGGACATTTCAGCATTTCTGCTGCTTCTGATAATGCCCTGATACTGATTTTGATTCTGAGCATACTTTTTGGCCATATTCCTTTTCTTCCTTTACCACAAAAGCCTCAAGGGTATCTGCCTCTTTTTCCATCCTACTACTGTAGATTGCAGCAGCATGGAATTTTAGATCCGGCAGAGATCTTGTGTCAGCTAGCTGGTCTGACTCTTCCCATTTTCATAATTGTGAAATCAGATCCAGAAAGGTATGTTTTGACTGCAGTGCATTGTGTCCCTAAGGGGCTATCCCTGAAATAGATAATGTCTATTTTGAGGTGTTACAAAGCATTTTATGACCAATGACAGTGGAAGAGGAGTGGGTACTTAAAGATCCCTTAGAGTTCTGTATTATTTTTCATTTATTCCAAGGAAAAGTCTCACCTGGAGGATTGAGGTATGATTTAATTACATTTCAAGAGAAGGCTGGAGATTTATGTCTTTATAGATTTATATCTTTATTTTTATAGGGATTTGTCCTGCTTCTCTTTCTCTGTCCTCAATAGTATTGCTAATTCCACTACTGCAGACCATACCTGACCATACCTTGTGCATTGGAAATGAAAACCTCAAGTCGTAAGATACTTTAAGGCAGCATTAGGCTGAGTGGGATAGAGCGAGAGGAGAGAAGGTAAACATTCAGCAGAGGACCCTGGAAGTGGTGACATGTGTCTGTGGACAGTGGGTTGAGGGTGTTGTATAGATGTAAGGACATTCCCAAATCAGGGACCACCTTATGTTACATGACCATATGTTTGGGTGCCCCAAATTATTGCCAGTGATGTCATTAGCACCAAAGATGGTCTCTCCTTTGGAAATGGTAAGAAATCATATACTTCTGGATCCATAGACAGTTGTGGAAACCGTATTCAGATCTTTAACATTTCTGGATTTTTCTGATGCAGCTGTAACTATGATGTGTAAGAGAAAAGGCACAGGAGGAGGAGGAAACAAGAAGTGTGCTACAGGAGGGGAGGAGAGCTTCACTCTCCTTGACTGTGCCTTTACCCCTCTCCTGTTCCTGTGAGTATGTCCTATGGCCATCCAGAGTGTGCTTTCTTACCACCTGAGAACTGACTTTGGGAGCAGCCCAGTGGTCTCCAGTGTGCCTCAATGTATGGTGTGGACTGGAAGGAGGTCCTTTTTTTTTTCCTTGCTAATCTCCACTCTGTACTCTCCGTGCTCATTAGGGTAACAGCTGTTTTCTGGAACAAGGAGCTCTGCTTAGCAGCAGTGTTGGAACACGGATGGTGTTCCACATGAGTGAATTTTTCTGTATAATTGTTACCTTCTCTTTAAGTATCCATGCCTAACATATTTAAATAATAGTAAGTGGCAGTCCTCCTGGTCAGATATTTCTCTTCCCTATACAACTATCACTTGTTGGTGTCAGCTATGCCTGGAAAGGCTCTCAGACTATTGTTTATCAAGAATGTGGTCAGAGGTTGACCTGCGTTAGAATAACCTGGGGGTAGGGGAGGATGACTGATGGTTGAAAATGTAGATTCCTGGACTTCACTTCAGTCAGATTCCCTGACAATCAGACCCAGAAATCAGTTTTAGAAATGCGGTTGCCTGTGTGCTTCTGATGCACATAGATATGGGTTCTAAAGGAGTCAGGGTAAGGAACTTGTGTGGTTAGTTCATTGCTCAATGCCCAACACCCAGAACAGTGCCTGACACACACAAATATGCACTCCTTATCTGCTGAGTGAGTGAGTGAGTTCTTCAGTTCAGTTTTCTGCTTCTTATCTGCCATTAGTTAGGGAATCTTATTATAATTGAATAAAATATAAGAGTGTATCCTCAGTGACAGGCTAGGAGTGCTTCTCTATGTAAATTATTTAAACTTTGTAATGTTAAAGGGACTCCTTTTTTTTTCATGACCCATGAGAAAAAAATGTTTTCTTTTATGTCTGACACAAAGTATATAAAAGGTAGATGGCTATGTTGGATTAGTTTTCAGTCATAGCCCAAATAAACTGCTTAAAAAAGTGAGGAGTTTCTTCATTATGTTAACCTTCGTATTTGAGCTATTTTGAAAGATTAATCCCCAAATTTCTTTTAACTAGGCAAGATGAGGCTATTTAGAAGTGCAAGATGTACACTGGGAGCAGTGCCTTAAGCCTGTAATCTCAGCACTTTGGGAGAGGACTGCCTGAGACCAGGGGCTCGAGACCAGCCTGGACAACTTGGCGAGACCTCATCTCTACAGTAAAAAATAATAATAATAATTAGCCGAGTGGGATGACATGCGTCTGTAGTTCCCGCTAGTTGGAAGGCTGAAGCAGAAGGATTGCCTGAGTCCAGCAGGTTGAGGCTGTGGTGGCTGAGAACGCGCCACTGCACTCCAGCCTGGGTGGCAGAGTGAGACTCCAACTCGACAACAACAACAAAATGTAAGGTGGTTTTTTTTGTGCCTACATGTGGTTATAATTCCTGCACCTCTCCTCCTGCCATAAGCAAAATGTGTGCTTGTGTGCTTTCTAAAATTTCTTTTTTTTTTTTTTTTGAGTTGGAGTCTCACTCTGTCACCCAGACTGGAATGCAGTGGCCTCTCCTGGCCACAGCAGCCTCGACCTGCTGGGCTCCGGCGATCCTTCCGCCTCAGCCTTCCAAGTAGCCAGAATTACAGGCATGTGCTACCACGCCTGGCTGATTTTGTGATTTTATTGTAGAGATGAGATCTCGCTGCCCAGGCAGGTCTCGAACCCGCAGGCTCAGGCAATCCACTCACCTCAACCTCCCAAAGGCGTGGGATTACAGGCTGAGCCACCAAGCCCGGCTTCTAAAATTTTGAAAACTTCTATTGTGGATAAGTTATTGGAAACATAAAGCCCTCCAACTTTGAATCAGGAAGAAATAGAATCCTTGAATAGTCCAATAACAAGTAGTGAGACTGAATTAGTAATTAAAAGTTTCCCAATAAATTAAAGTCCAGGACCTAACAGACTCACAGCCAAATTCTACCAGACTTTCTTTTTAATTTTTATTTATTTGTTTTTATCTTAAAGATGTAAGGTACAATTCAGGACTAGGTACACAAGTGGTCATCGTACAGGTAAAATTTGGGCCTCCCTTTGGTACCCACTTTGCCTGGTTTGAGGTCAGATACCCTTGTTGATGTTGTGTCCCCACACTCCCCCACCCACCCACCCCGGCAATATCCCGCTACTGTCAATTTCGTTCTTACAGTATTGTGGTAAATGTTTAGGGTCTGCTTATGAGTGAGAGCATGTGATACTCAGTTCTTTCTTTCTGTGGTAGATCACTGAGTATGATAGACTATAAATCTCTCCCAAGTTGCTGTGAAGTCCTTATGTTTGTCCTTCTTTATGACTGTGTAATATTCCATTGTGTATATGTACCAAATTTTTTTTTATCCAGTCCAGTTTTGATGGGCAGCACGGTTGGTTCCTTGTTTTTGCTATTGTGAACAGTGCTGCTAGAAATATGCGTGTGCGGGTATCTTTTTTGTAGATACCTTTTCTTCCTCCAAGTATATTCCTGTTAGGGGGATTGCTGGATCATATGGAAGTTTGATGTATAGTTATTTTAGAAATCACTACACTGTTTTCCAAAGAGGATGCACTAATTTGCATTCCCACCATCAGTGTAAAAGTGTTCCTTTTTCTCTGCTTCCTCACCAGCATCTGTTGTTGTTTGTTTTATTAATGATGGCTATTCTTAATGGGATTAGGTCGTATCTCAGTGTGGTTTTGATTTGCATTCCTCTGATAATTAGTGAGACTGAGCACTTGTTCATGTGTCTGCTGGCTGCCTGTATATATTCTTTTAATGTCTTTTGCCCACTTTTTAATGTGGCTGTTTTGTTTTTGTTTTTGTTTTTCCTTTCAGCACATTTGCGTTCCTTGAAGATATCCTGGTTGTTGGACTTTTGTCAGATATACAGTTGGTAAATATTTTTTACCATTCTGTGGTCTGTCTTTCTGCTCTCTTGGTGGTTTCTTTTGCTTTGCAGTAGCTTTTCGGTTTCTTATGGCATGAGTACTTGGGGTTTTAATCAGAAATTGGTTGCCAGTTCCAATTTCAATAAGGGTGTGTCCTGAATTTTCTAAGGTTATTATAGTTTGCAGTTTTATGTTTAGGTCTTTGCTTCATTCAGAGATGATTTTTGTGTATGGTTATTTTCAAGTAAGAACTGATACTAATTTTATTGAAACTATTCCATGATTGAAAGGAGGAAATTCTTCCTAACTCATTCTGCAAAGCCAGTATTGCCCTATCACCAAATCCAGGAAAAGAACTGGTACCAATTTTACTGTAGCTATTCCATAAGACTGAAAAGGAGGGAATTCTCCCTAACTCATTTTTGAAGCCGGTATCACCGTAATACCAAAGTTAGGAAAAGACACAACACAACAACAAAAAAAGGGAACCACACATCAATATCCCTGATGAATTAGATTAGAAGGATGAACATAAATGCAAAAATTCTCAACAAAGTACTAGCAAGCTGAAATCAACAGCACATTAAAAAAAAAAAATCCACCACAATCGTGGGTTTTGTCCCAGCAATGCAAGGATGGCTCAACATACACAAGTCAATAAACATAGTTCATCACATAAACAATTAAAAACAAAAATCAGCCGGGCTCAGTGGCTCAGCCTGTAATCCCGCGCCTTTGGGAGGCTGAGGTGAGTGGATTGCCTGAGCCCGCGGGTTCGAGACCCGCCTGGGCAGCGAGACCTCATCTCTACAATAAATCAGAAAATCAGCCGGGCGTGGTAGCGCATGCCTGTAATTCCGGCTACTCAGAAGGCTGAGGCGGAAGGATCGCCGGAGCTCAGCAGGTTGAGGCTGCGGTGGCCGGGAGCGGCCACTGCACTCCAGTCTGGGTGACAGAGTGAGACTCAAACTCAAAAAAAAAAAAAAAAAAAATCATATGATCATTTCAATAGACACAGAAAAAGCACTTGATACAATCCAACATTGCTTCATGATTAAAAAAAAAAAACCCTCAGCAAAATAGGAGTAGAAGGAACATTTCTCAAAATAATAAAATCCATATGACAAACTCATAGCCATTGTCATCCTAAACAGAGAAAAATTCAGCGCATTTCCTCTCTGAACTGGAACAAGGCAAGGAAGCTTACTTTCAGTATTCCTTTTCAACATAGTACTGGAAGTCCTATCCAGAACAATCAGGCAAGAGAATGAAATAAAGTGTGTTCATATTGGGAAAGAAGAAATCAGACTATCTCTGTATGCCAACAATAGTTTTTTATACCTAGAGAATCCTAAAGGCTCCTTCAAAAGACTCTTGGAATTGATAAATGAATTCAGTAAAGTTTCAGGATACAGAGTCAACACACACAAATTAGTAGCAGTGCTATATACCAATAGCGACCATGCTGAGAATCAAATCAAGAACTCAATTTCATTTCCAATGGCAGCCAAAAAGTTAAAATACCTAGGAATATATTTAACCAAGGAGATGAAAGATCTCTACAAGGAGAGCTATAAAACAGTAATGAAAGAAATTGTAGAAGACACAAACAAATGGAAAAACTTCCCATTCTCATGGATTAGAAGGATCAACACTTAAAATGATCATATTATCCCAAATCATCTACAGATTCAATGTAATTGCTATCAAGCTAACAACATTATTTTTCACAGTATTAGAAAAAATAATTCAAAAATGTATATGGTACCAAAAAGCCAGAATAACCAATGTAATCCTAAGCAAAAACAACAAAGCTGGAGGCATCACATTACCTGACTTCAAATTATAGTATAAGACTGTAATAAGCAAAACAGGCTTGTACTGGTACAAGAGCAGACACATAGACCTATGGAACAGAATAGGGAATCCAGAAATTAACCCAAATACCTACAACCATCTGGTCTTCAACAAAGCAGTCAAAAGTATACACTGGGGAAAGGAAACCCTGTTCAACAAATGGTGCTAGGAAAATTGGATAGCTATGTGCAGAAAAAATGAACTTGATACCTCTCTTTCGGCATGTATAGAAATTAAAGTAGATTAAAGGCTTAAATGTGAGACCTGTAACCATAAAAATCCTAGAAGAAAGCCTAGGAAAACTCTTATGGATATTGGCCTAGGCAAATAATTTGTGGCTAAACCTCCAAAAGCAAATGCAACAAACCAAAAATAAATAATTGTAACTTAATTAAAGAAAAAAGCTTCTGCACAGCAAAATAATCAACAGAGTAAATAGACTGCCTACAGAATGGGAGAACATATTCACAAACTATACATCTGACAAAGAACTCAGAATCTACAAAGAACTCAAACACATCAGCAAGAAAAAAGCAAATTACTCCGTTAAAAAGTGAGCCAATGACATGAACAGACATCTCTCAAAAGAAAATATACATATGAAAAAATGTTCAGCATCACTAATCATCAGGGAAATGCAAATTAAAACCACAATTAGATACCATCTTACACCAATCAGAACGGCCATTATTAAAAAATAAAAAGACAATAGATGTTGGCACAGATGTAGTGTAAAGGGAATGCTTTTACACTGGTGGTGGTAGTAGTACAAGTAGTATAAAACCTCTATGGAAATCAGTATGGGGAGTTCTCAAAGAACTAAAAGTAGATCTATCATTCGATCCAGGAATCCTACTTCTAGATATCTACCCAAAGGAACAGAGGTCATTATACAAAAAAGACACCTGCACTTGTATGTTTATTGCAGCGCAATTCACAGTTGCAATGATGTGGAATCAGTCTAAATGCCCATTAACTGATCAGTGGATAATGAAAATGTGTGTGTGTGTGTGTTTGTAATATATATATATACACACCATAGAATACTATTTAACCATGAAAAGGAATGGAATAATGTCTGTTGCAGTAACTTGGATCGAATTTGAGAACATCATTCTAAGTGAACTAATGCAGGAACAGAATACCAAATACTGCGTGTTCTCATTTATAAGTGGAACTGAACTAGGGATCTGCAAAGGCATATAGAATGGTATAATGGACATTGAAAAATCAAAAGGGGGACAGTAAGAGAGTAAGGGGGAAGAATGAAAAATCACCTATTGGAGACAGTGTGCACTGGTGGAAGTGATGGGTGCACTTAAAGCCCAGACTGCTTTGCCACTATACTGTGCATCTATGCAACAAAAAAAATTTATACCCACTAAAGCTATTGAAATAAAAAAAATTTCCAATTGAAATACCCAGGGTCCCAAAGGATGTTACATTGTGAGCAAACAATAGGAACATATTTATCTTCCTCTAGTACTGTATTTCTTTTTAAGAGTATGCAAGTATCGCTCCAAGCCTTTTGACTCTTTTCTGTTATTTTATTACTTTTTAAAAGCGTGTATCTAAGTATCCAATATTTTGAGTGTCTTTAGCTACTGTTCTATCTTTTTTGTTTTATTTTTAAATCAACTGAAATGACCTTGTTCTTCTTGAGTAATTTTTTCCCACCAGCCTCATTTCCTGCTTTGTGTCTTTAGAGAAATATGGTGCAGAATAGGAATGACTTGTATATTCTTTCAAGAGACTCATTAAGATAAAAAGACTAATGTGTATTATTACATTGTTCCCCATGGAACAATGTTTCCTGATGAAGGTAAGCAGGCACACATGGAAATCTGGTTATAGATTTTTAAAAATTCATTTAGGGCCACACACAGTGGCTCACTCCTATAATCCTAGCACTCTGGGAGGCTGAGGTGAGAGGATTGCTTGAGCCCAGGAGTTCAAGACCAGCCTGGGAAACATAGTGAGACTTTATTTCTACCAAAAAAAGTTACATTAAAAATTAATTTAACAAATACTATTTGAGTGCCTTCACAGTGCCAGGCACAATGCTAGGCTCTGGGATATAGACATGAAGGATACATTTTCTGAATTTAACAAGTTCATATTCTAGTTGGGAAGACGAGCAATCAGCCGTTACAATAATTATGAGAGGTATTGCTGGGTGCAATGGGAGCATGAAAAAATACAGGCAAAACTAGAAATAAACTGTCAAGGATTAAGACTTGGTTGGGGTGGGCAAGGATGTTGCAGGCAGGAGAAGGAAGTGGTTTTTTGGATTGTGAACTTCGTGTATTCTAGCAATGTGAAGTGGTTCTTTGTATAACAACAGGTGTTTCAGGAGCCAGGTCACGAACAACTCTCTATGTCTATGCTAAGGATTCTCACTTTATTTATCAACTGACAAATTCACTGACAGATTTTTGAACAGGTGGGCGTCATGATCATATTAATTATCACTTTGACAGCCCATGATTATGGTTTGAAGCAGAGCAGTCCTGAAAATACAAGAGACTAATTAAGAAGGAACTCTAATAATATAGAAATGACAAATACTTTAATGAAAGCAATGATATTTATCGATCAACCAAAATTTTAAAATGTGTTCTTTGCTTTACAACTCAGCACATTTTAAAATTTTGGCTTAGCAATAAGAATGATGGGACTTAGTCATAGGAAATAAGTTTTAGAGTTGTAAGAAGTGTCCCAATGGGAGGCCCAAGACTTCACTTGTACGTAAACCATTTATGCACATAATCCTGACTTGTACCCCACAACTTTAAAATAATTTTTTAAGTAGTGTCAGTATTTCTTTTGGTGATTTTTAGCTTTAAATTTTCCCATTATTTGCTCAAGACATATGTGCTGACTTACTGCTATGTTTTTTTCTGGAATTTGTATGTCTGTACTGTGTACTTGTACGGAATTACAGCTACTTGGAAAGACTGAGTTCTGCCTTAATCCCATGGACTCAGAGCTGCGTTTTCTGAAGAGCTCTTGCATTACAGAAGAAACTTTTATCATTTTCAGTACAGTTTCAGGCAGTATGTTTATAGAAAGTCCTCTAAACACTCTAAATGAAGTAGAACTTTAGGAATCTTGAAGCAAGAACCAGGAGATTCAATTAAATGGCAGTTGTATATTTAGATTGTTTTTAGGTAGGTCATTCAAAACAGATTGTAGTTAGAGAATTAATTCACTTATAAAATTGTCAAGGTTAGTATTATTCTTAATTATACCCTGGATCCTTGTAACATAATCTTTGACATATATTTTGCCACTCTGTTTCTGTTAAGTTGACCTTAAGTAGAACAATATCAACCGACATTTAGTTAAAAAAAAAAATGAATTGTTAGCAATCTTTTGACAAAAGGCAAAGACCAGTAAGATGGGGGGGAGAGGTGGGGGCGGGGAAGAGAGAGATAAGAATCCATTCACTTAAAAAATAGCAACCTTAGGTATATGGGTTACAATTCTGTATTGTATAATACTATTTTCTGTTTTTGTCCCCTGGTTTTTCCTGTAGAATTTTCCATGCATTTAACACATAGCTCACATACTTACCTTTTTTATATATACTTGCTTTTCTTATTGACATTTAAAAGCTTTAAGGGCCCAGTCGTATCTCACTGGCACATGTGCTCCTGCATAGAGTCTGGGACTCAATGATATTTTAGTCCATGGCATTTTCCAGATTTTCATGATTTACCTCCTGTTCCTGTCTTTTGACCATTTCTATTTGTTGGATACTTCGCATGATAGCATAGAATTTTATGGATTGGAAATCTAAATAGCATGAGTCATGTCCTCTCCTTCCATCTCTCTGCTTTGGGATGGCCTTTGTCTCATCTGAACTATTGATACTTCCTCCCTTCCGGTCCCTCCACCACCAGTGACTGTAGCTCCACATCTTGCCCACTCTTAGTCATCCTTCTGTGTGTGCCTGTCCCCCCTGCCTGAAGGCTTCCTACTACATTCAGGACAAAGATCAAATTTGTAATGGGTTGGGCCAGTTCTTTGTAGTCCGGCATTCACTGACCTTCAGTCTCATTCTCATCTCTGGCGGGATTACCTCTACCTGTCACAAGCGCTATGCTCCAGTCTTACATGAAAACCAGCTGAACAAAATATGGTTTCCCCAAAATGCCGTATTCTCTATTATGCCCTGCCTTTGTGCCTCCTCTGAGGGCACTTCACTGAGCAGGCCTCATCATTTGTTCCCTATTTTCTCTGTGCTTCATGTAGCAATGTGTTCACCTAGCAGTTACAGGGCTCATCAAACTGTATTGTTAAAATGTATCAGTCCCCCCAGCCAGACTAAGTTTTGAAAAAACCCTGACACTACTCCTTTGTATATAGTTATAGCCAAGCACAGTCCTTGGCACATGGTAGACAGTCATGGTCATCTTTAGAGTAGAGCTATATTCAATTTGTTTAGGATTATTAAAGAATGGAAACAGGCTAATGTATACATTAAGTTATAAATATTTAGATCCAAAAGGTATATGTGCCGAATTGGCAAAGTTGTTTATAATGACATCTCATAAGGCATCTGTGAAGGTATTCTAGACACAAGACAGAAGTGACTGGGAAGTCAGATTTTTAAGGTGCCATCTGGAACACATTTGGGGCTAGACAAGCCTACATCTCTTTTTGAGTGTTCCCTGAATTCACTAGATGAACCTATATGTTTATAATGATTTGCTGGATAGAAATGCACTGGGCTTTGAAACAAGATCAGGCTGTGGAGAACCTTAATATAAATGAACTCTCAGAGAGCCAGCCCCTTCCAAGGTTGTGATGGTTGTACACTGGGCCTTCTTTGTTCAGATGCATTATTACTCTGATGCTGATCATCAATATAAGAAAATAAGAAAACGAACTCATGCAAGTATCTGAAACCTGAATGAGCATTTTTGAATGTGCTTTTTTTTTAAGTTTAGAGATTCAAATCGATATATCCTTAGTATGACATTTTGCATAGGAATCTTTGTGCATTGCAGATAAAGGACCTTTCAATTCTTGGTTTAAATACAGGAACTGTATGGATTTAGTGATTCTCTTTTAATTTCAAAAGAAATTGTGGTTTTTATTTTTCAGTGTTGAAAATGAGCCCATGAGCACAAGTCAGAAAAAGGAAAATGTACTTTCATCAGAAGCAGTAAAGGTATAGTTTTAAATTAATATTATCTTATGTCAAGCAAATAGTTTTAATTACAGTTCATTCTTCCTTTTAGGTTCTGTCATCTTATTTTACATTTCAGAAAGAACACCATGTTTTGACTTTATGTGGAAATCCAGCCCAGCTCTCGTGGACATTTGCATCGAGATGGAATGGGGGTTGGGGGAGAGGGGGTTGGGCTCCAAGAAGGGAGTGTACTCTGAGTGGTGTTCTCCCCTTTGCCACTAATCCAGCTGTGTAGTCTTCAGCTGAGATATTCAACTTTTTTTGCTTTGGTTTTCTAAACTAAAGCTGAATCACATGACCTACATGTTTTCTTATCCCTAGGAAGTCATATTTTCTGAAGTGCTGCAGGCAACAAGTAGTGCTCTGTGGGGGTAGCTGTTAACAACCTGTTCCTACATGTCCTTGCTATGTGTTGGACTTGCTTGGTCCGCTCACTTGTAAATTGTTCTGCTTGGCTTCTTTAGGACAAGCCTAAAAAGTGTATAAGCTGCACACGTGCCTAGACAGTTATCCACAAGTAGTTGGAAATCCTCGAAAATCACTAAACCCTGTGACTTCTCTTCTTATTTATTAAGTGATTTCTATAAATTCAGTGTTTCTAATTCCAGGCATGTGATCACATTTTGGTAACTTTCCTACAATCATGGCTTTTGGTTTTACATGTGACAATCAGTCAAGGAGAAAGTTTCCAAGGATCTCAGGATACATTAGCTTGGTCAGTGGAAAGACAAAAAGTCATCTGAAGTCTTTGTTGCTGATATGAGCACTTTTTAACATTTTGGAAAACAACTTAAGTCCAAGTGCATTAAATATGGTGAAAACCACCAAGCTGTTATCCTTCTTTACTCCTGCCTTCCATGTTAGAGCAAAACATATAAATATTTTACTTTACGGAAAGGAAAGAATCAGGATCACCTTGCTACCATTTATTTGCTCCTTTGTGAGTCTGGCTACTAAATCCTGTTCCTGGTGGCTTTCTATCATCTCTTGCCTGTTTCTCTTCTGCAGCCAATTGTTAACCTGCCTGTTGGTTTACTGTTGTGTGGCCTACATCACTTCTTCCTGTTCCACATGCCTTGAGTTGCCCTACTCAAGATTTCCACTTCTGATGCTATATAGGAAACTTTGCCCTTGCATGGTTTCACAGGAATGCTGTTGCTTCTGAAATCTCAAACTTCAAAGTGTCCTTGGTTTCCATCTCCTGCCAGTCCATCTCTTAATCCCTCATCGCCTCTCTACTCACCCTTGCCCTTCACCAAGTCCTCCTACTTTTCTTGCTCCCTTCTCTTGATCTCTGCTTGTTTTCCTATTCAGCCTATATCTGCTGGTCTATTTCAGCTAGACTTTCACTAAAACAATGCTCAGTCTTTAAACATGAATAAATTCAACCTTTTATTTCCAGTAGTCCCACTTTTCACCTACAGAGATTTGCTCTGAAAGTCACATTTTTGTGGACTCAGGAAACATGTGGTGGCAAACATGGTGGCTGGGGCTCCATGCTAACAATCTTTTTTATCCATTTTTTAATATCTTGGTCATAGTAACGGTATTTTCTATTAATTCTTAATATCTTATTTTGAATGTCCAGAATAATTTCATTTTAGTGCCTGGGCTCCTAAGTAAATACCACTCACAATCACAAGACTATTTGTCTTTTGATTTGAGGCTGATATGTCTACTCACATATGGGTACTCCAGTTAGCCCATAATAGAAAAGGTCATTCTCTAAACTACTGGTAGAATTTCTTCAACCCAGCCACACAGATACAGTTGTACAATGACTGCTGATACCAGGCATCAAAACAACAGTCAGCCCTAGGTCTTGAGAAAAAAAAAAGTTAACAACATCATTTATTATCTTGCTATTTTGAACAGTCTCAATTGAAGATTTTTTTCTTTTAGCAGGGGACATAAAGCAGGCCATTTGTTTTCTCTCTAATGAAGAATTTACTGAAACGCAGCACTTCACTACTATTTGATATTTCTCACTGTGCTTCCCTCTTGTTAACCTGAATTGTATAATGAATGCTTTCTTGTAAGGAGAAGGAAAAAAATGTGTGGCATTTTCCCTCTTGAGTCTGAATCGTAACAGATTTATGTATAATAAACATAACCTCATATATGTCACCTTTTTCTATTTGACCTTGAAATACCAAATCAAAATGTCAAAGATTGTTTATTATAAGTTTGAACTACAAAAATTAGCTGTATTTTTAAACACTTAGAAGCTATGTTTTATGTTATTTTTGGACATTATTAAATTGTGTGTGCGTGTGTGTGTGTGTGTTGGCGGGGTCTCAATCTGCTGCTCAGGCTGGAGTGCAGTGGCACGATCATGGCACACTGCAGTCTCGATCTCCTGGGTTCAGGTGATCTTTCCTCCTCAGCCTCCTGGTAGCTGGGAGACTACAAGCATGCCCCACCATGGCTGGCTAATTTTTAAATTTTTTTTGTAGCAATGAGGTCTGGCTATGTTGTGCAGGCTGTTCTCGAACTCCTGGGCTCAAGCAATTCTCCTGCCTCAGTCTCCCAAAGCACTGGAACTGCAGGTGTGAGCCACCAATGACTGCTGGCCCAGGATTAAATTCTTGATCCCTAAAATACTACTTATGTGCTGCTCAAATTTTGCTGTTTTGCTAACATTGGTGGTTGCTTCTAACAATTGCATCTATTCTGCCACTAGGACATATATTTGGTTTATATTAATGAGGCTTTTATATTTAGCTAGAGCAACTTCCAGATATTTAGTCCACATTCTACCAGTGTCTTGCAGCTTTAGACTCGCAGTATTAACATCCTCTTTATTTGAAAGAGAGGGAAGACATGTTGTTATGCCCTGTTCCCTTCTACCAACATCAGAAGACTGTTTATCCCTTTCTTCCAAGGCTAAACTCCTTCGAGTCCCTATCCTGACCACCCAGAACAAGTGGCATTAATATGCTTACTTCCTGCCTTCTCTTGTGCGTTGCTCATTTCTTTTGTCCCTCCATCTTCACTGACTTCTTCCCATTTACCTTAGCTCTCCAGGTTTCTCTCCAAGTATATTAAATTAAAACCATGTGTTTTTTTTTCTTTCTGTGGGTCTGGTTTTCTTTCAGTCTGTCATTTCACTTCGCTTATACCTTTTGCCAAAATTACTTATGAAGGTCTATCTTAAGTACTGTTCAGTTCTTAATCCTTTCTAATCCAACTCCTGTTTCTCCTTTGCCATGGGAAGCTGAGTATTGTGCCTGACACACGTGTCAGGGATGTTTAGTAAGTGCTTGTTGAATGACATCCATTCCATGAAACCAGTACAGTCAAGGTTATCAGTGACCTCGTACTGACCACATTCAGTGACCTTTCCTTGTGTCTTATTCTGTTTAACCAATCGAAACACTTGATTTTCTAGGTTTTGCTCTCCTTTTCAGAAATGTTCTTTGGTTTATCTTTGCTTCTATGATATTGTCCTTTTTTGGATCAGTTCCTACCTCTGGTTACTTCCTTGTCTGTTTCCTTCACTGATTCTTTTCTGGCTACATCATTTTTCATGTCGACGTTTCTCAAAGACCTCAGTTCTCCTCAGCATCAGTCCTCCGAAGTGATATCTTCCAGTCTTGGTGCTTCATCTGTTGACTCCTAAACCACTACCTGACATCCCTTTTGAGTTCCAGACCTGATCATCAATGTTCCAGACCTTTCCAGATGGATATCCCTTTGATCCCTAAATCTCAATATCTTCAGAGGTGTTCTATAGTTTTATTCTTTGGAGGGGGCTGGGGGGCAGTGGTAGTGGTGGTGGTAAGTAAGGAGGATTTCCTGACTGTTTAGGATGGGGGAAGCGTTCTTGGTTCAACTTCTTCATTTAGAGATTTTCAAGCAAGTCCTTTCCTTCTAATCCCATTACTCATACTGCCTAAAGTACCTGGGTATCTTCAAATCCTGAGCTTTTTCACAATATTTGTGGGGGGAATTATTTTCCTTATGATCAGAGTCCCTTTTTACAGATACTTAGGTGAAAGCTTCCTCTGTTCAGTTACTACATCTGCCTTTGCCTTCTAAGCCCTTTCTGAAATCTCTTACCTTCTAGATCTCTTCTCTCCCTACCTTTGTACTTATAACTTAAAAAAAAATCCTTTTGCTGTCATTTTAGAGCATTTGGTACAAGAGGAGTCAATGTTCTATCTTCAGTATGTTCTATCTTCAGTGTTTATCAGAAATTGTATTTCTGTTTATAGTTGAACAAAGTGAATCTTAGTGATTAAGACAAAATTCCCGCTGCTAATAGAGAAGACAAGATAATTCAGTGGCAGTTCTGTACCACAATACTCCATTTGTGCGTTTAATTATGAGCTAGGTTCATAAACTTCATTTATCAAAAAGAAATCTATTAAGATATAAAAAGAACTGTGGCAGTAAGTCTGTTTTCAGAAATGAGTATTGAGCTAAATAAAATAATTATACATGGACCATAGGTTATATATTCTCTAACCCAGGTCTAAATAAACTGATGATTATTAGGTGTGCTCTCCATAACTTGGCATCTGCTTAATGTACAGTCTAACCTTGGTTCCATTTTAGAATTGGTGATCCTGAACATTCATAATACTTTGGTGAACGTTCTGGCATCTTTTAAGAGAAGGTGGCTGGTTATATGTCTGTGATGTTCCTGTGGATAAAGAAGTGGAATCAAAGAATATCCACTTAATGCAAATTAATGCCAGATATTTAGATTCATAACTTTACTTCCAGTCTTAGAAGTAAATCATTTATTATAAAGAACCACATTTTTTTCCTTGTTGCTAGTGTTTACTAACTGACCTGTGGAAATGGAAGAATCTCACTGAAGAAGAATGGCCACGAATTGTTCTTTACATTAGTGCCTGTATTGAGAATACAGTACTGTGTTGTAAGATTAATATATTAATATATGCATCCGTTCATATTTTGACTTTGTGTAGCTCTTCTTATTGGTCATTTTCAACTTGGTTGAAATGGTT